CAGAATTATAATTTAATAGGAAAATGATAAAAAGAATAAATGCAATAATATCAAAAACACTGACAGAGTCAGAATACAGCCTGGAACCCTGTTAGGGTGATGGTAGTCGTCCAGATGAGGTGGTCTTGTTGAAGCGTGATCCTCTGGAAGTCCCGTAGGTAAGGGCTGCTGTGGTGTTCGAATTCTCAGCTTATATCCAGTATGGAATGCTTGGCTCCTCCCAAGGGGAGGAGCATCTCACAATGGGATGGTGAGTCATGAGATAAGGCCTTGATGAGCCATTAACAGAAAACAGTCCAGGAGGAAGTTATCTCTGAGTCATGCAGCAAGGCAGTGGTGGGCCCATTAACAGGGGACAATACAGGGGGAAGTTATCTATGAGTCATGGGGCAGGGCATTGATGGGCCCATTAACAGAAGGTAGCCCGGGGTGGGGGGGGGAGGCAGGGAGCACTGCCTCACCTGGTTTCAACAGTACATGAGGATGGTGATAGAATATACTGCAACCCAGGACAATCCTGCAAACACAAGATTTGAAAAACAATTCTACCACACACCTACCATTTCATTCAATACCAGATGAAGGAGATGCTCACCTTCACAGATACATCAACCACAAACACAAGGAAGCAGAGCAGCTCAATGCTCTCTGTGAGGCCACAGGGAGGATTCCAGGCAGGAAGGCGGTATCGCACATCCGATGTAACAGTAAGCGAGGAAGGCTCTTCAATGAAAGCCAAAGCCAAGATTACAGTAATGGTTAAGCTCAAAATCCTGTTTGGACAGAGATGAAATTAAAAATAAAGCAAACAAAACCATAAAAAAATGAACTAAAAAACATACCTCAAAACAACTCCCAAAAAAACAGCCACAAAATGAGTCAAAATAATAACAAAATACTTACAAAAGCAATTTTCTTTGAAGTAAACCAAGCTTTATGATACTGTATTTCACTCAAATGGGTTAGACCACAAGGCAGCACTTCACTGGCATGTTGTTGCCTGTACTGGAGTTGTAACTGCTGACCACCAAATAACCTGAGGTGGTGTCCTTTTGAAACTAACAGCAGCAAACAATCTTGCTGGTATCCAGCATGTTTAGAAATAGACACTTTAAAATTCTCAAGGCACAGTGCTTTAAATCATGCTAATTAGCCTACTCATGCAACACTCCCATGGCTGTTTCAAAGAGCCATCTATATCATCACACTTCCACAGAATTTGCTGCTTTCCACATCTATCATGTTCACATATTATCAATCCCCTTGCTCCCCACAGTAATTCATATTATAATATTATAGTATTTTATATATAATATAAATATATTTATAATATTATTGTAACAATTATAATTTGATAAAAAAACAAAACGATTATCTAACAAGCAAGAAAGACAAAGAGTAGTTTTTCAGAAAGACTAACTCCTAAACAAAAAAGCAAAAAGAATAAACAAGTTCTTACCACTGGCAAGTCCTGGAATAATACCATCGATAAAGCCACAGGGATTTGGAGTCCACACGGTGATTTATAGATCGATACTGAAGGCAGGAAGCAAAAAGGTTAATTCAAACATCACATTCAGTCTGTCTCGAAGACAAAGATCAAGTTACCAAAGCAAACTAAATGAGTACATGTTATTATTAAACTATCAGGTCACCCATGACCACAGAGGTACTCTACATGTGTAAAAAGGGAAAGATTTTAAGGAAGTTCTGTTATCTAAAGACCACACAGCTGCTCAGATAATTAAACTGTGTGCCAGTCATCTGAAGTACTGTCATAATTTCAAATAACAGCATTTGTAATAATTCAGTGACTATTCTATGTACTCGCCAAAAT